GGTCATCATTCTGTGGCCGTGAGCAGTTGGTGGCGCGGTCCAGGAAGAAGAAGAAGAAGAAGAAGAAGAAGAAGAAGAAGAAGAAGAAGAAGAAGAAGAAGGAGAAGCTGAAGCTCGCGGCTATGGCGACTGTGGTGCACGAAGTGGCTGCTTGTATCAACGCTCACGCTTGGAATGGCAACTGGTCGATGTTGGCTGTTTGCCCGAACACCAACAAAGTGCACATTTTCAGGGTGCCAGCAGCAGATGGGGAAGGGGTGTCCTCTTCTTCTTCTTCTTTGAAGGGTGGGGCAAAGGGATGGGAGAGGGTGCAGGTGTTGGACAAGCACGATCAACTCGTTGCAGGCATTGATTGGGCTCCCTTATCCAATCGGATAGTCACGTGTTCACACGATCGCAACGCTTACGTGTGGTCGTTCGATGCCAGGTGTCAGTCATTCCGGCCGATGCTGGTCATCCTACGTGTCAATCGCGCTGCGCTGGCCGTCTCTTGGAGTCCCCGAGAGAACAAATTTGCGGTGGCAAGCAGCGCCAAGTGCGTTTGCGTCTGTTATTATGAGGAGGACAATAATTGGTGGGTAAGCAAATTAATTAAAAAAAAACACGAATCTGCGGTCACGTGTGTCGCATGGCATCCCAACAACGTCTGGATCGCGACGTCATCAACGGACGGCAAGTGTCGGATCTTCTCAGCACTAATCAACGGGATGGACCGGAGTGAAGAAGAAGAAGAACAAGAAGCAGAAGACGACAACGAGGAGGAAGACGAAGAAGAGGAAGGAGGAGGAGGAGGAGGAGGAGGAGGAGGAGGAGGAGGTGGTAGAAATGCTGGTGGAGGGTGTCATAGAGGTGGTAAGAAAACCCTAAACCCTTCTGACAGGAGGCCTTCTTTACGTACCCCTGCTGCTTTTGATACCCCTTTTGGGGCCCGTTTAAGGGGGGGGGGGGGCTGTGATACCAAATTTGGCGAGTGTCTTATGGTGTTCGATGCTAACTCGTGGACGGGAGGGGTTAAATGGTCACCACTGGGAAATCAGTTGGCTTTTGTGGCCCATGATTCAAGCGTACATTTCGTTAGGAAGAAAGCCGCTGGATCTTCTGATGGATCTGACGGTGCAGATGCAGATGCAGATGCAGATGCAGATGCAGATGCAGATGCAGACGTTTTCAGAATTGCCATGGCTGGTCTCCCATTTAGGGAGGTGCTTTTTTTGTCGGAAACGAGACTCGTGGCCGTTGGATATGATTGCATTCCAGTTCTGTTTGGCGTTGACGAGGGGACAGGAAATTGGCGGCTGATCAGATACGTCGATCGCCCTCGGCAAAAGCCGTCTTCATCCTCCTCCTCCTACTCATCATTATTGTCATCATCATCATCATCAGCAGCAGCAGCAGGAGCAGCAGCAGCAGCAGCAGCAGGAGGAGGAGGAGGAGGAGGAGGATCATTAACTGTTAGATTTCCTCGGTTAAGAACGCAGTTCTCATCAGCGCTAGAGAAATTCCTTGGGCAAACAAGAAGAGGAGAGACTGTGGAGAGCTCTGAAGGAGAGGGAGGAGGAGGAGGGGGAGGAGGTTTGGGGGCAGGAAAGATGATGACGACGACACACGAGAACTGCATCACGTGCATACAGTTGATGTTCGGAGGTATGGCAGGCCGTCGATTTTCCACCTCCGGTCTCGATGGGAGACTGGCGATCTGGGATCTGCTGGAGGGGGGCGACCTGGATGGGTAAAATGTATAAACGGAGCGATCATAGATACTACCGGTAGTAATTGGGGAGCGATCATCCATAGTTGGCAGGCAGGCAGGCATTCAGGTGTCTGACGTGTGAGCACGAGGGTAAAGCGATCTGCTGACACAATTGGCAGGCAGGCATTCAGGTGTCTGACGTGGCCGCACGAGGGTAAAGGGATCTGCTGAGATAACTGGCAGACAGGCAGGTGTCTGACGTGTCAGCACGAGAGTAAAGGGATCTGCTGAGATAATTGCCAGGCAGGCAGGTGTCTGACGTGTCAGCACGAGGGTAAAGGGATCTGCTGACATGTCAGCACGACCTTGATGGGTAATGGAATAATGGATCGATCATCCATGATTGGCAGGTAGTCCGGCAGGCGGGGCTAAAGGGACAGAAGGGCCATTTGTCGTAAGTAAGATGAACAGGAGATTGGGAATTGAAGGCGCGGGCGGCAGGTGTCTGACGTGTCAGCACGAAGGTAAAGGGGTCTGATTACTTGTCACGATGGTAAAGGGGTCTGATTACTTGTCAAGTTGTCTGTCATCCTTTTTTGCTCGGTCGGGGGTGGGTGGGGAAGTACCGAGGGGGGGGGGGGGGGGGGGGGGGGGGGTATGACTTGGCAGAGGGGTCCGGCAGACAGGTGGAGGGAGGGAGGGAGGATGAATCCCTAGACCAACGTCGTCCTCTGCGTGGAGAGGATCCACAAGGGGAGGGGGGGGGGGGGGTGGGGGGGGTGGAGGGTTACGACGTGGCAGAGGGGTGGGGAGAACCCTTGCCTTGACAACAGGTGGCTTTGATTCCCGCTCTTTTGATGGAACAAGGCTGCGACTCTGCGAACCCTACCGGGATCCCTATCGGGATCGCAGACGATTGAGGGGTGAGAGAATGACGAATCTCCTGACTGACTGATGGATAAATTATTGATGGGTTAACTATTGATTGGAGAATTGATTGATTGATTGATGGGTAATTTATTGATGGATAAGTGATTGAGGCTACTACGGAATTGAAGAGAACTGACGTGTCACGGCGAAAGCATCTGACGCATCTGACGTGTCACCGGGAAAGCATCTGACGTGTCACGGCGAAAGGATGTGACGTGTCAAGGTGAAAGCTATCTAACGTGTCAAGGCGAAAACATCTGACGTGTCCAAGTTGAACGCAGCTGACCTGTCAGTAAAGCATCGAATTTAAGGAAGCTGACTTGTCATGTTGAAGGCAGATGACGTGTCATGTTGAAGGCAGATGACGTATCAAATGCTCCTTGTTTCCTCAGATGAAGGGGCGGGGGGGTGGGTGGGGGGGTAACGAGTGTGAGTATGCACCCTACTCCAACGTCCTCCCCTGACCACAAGAGCACCCTCATCGTGAATGTATTGGACTGGAAAAAATATAGCTTGTATACATTCATGATGAGGGTACATTGCTCGCGAGTAGACGGTAGGAGCAGAGAGGCATAGAATGCGACTGCAAGAGGCATATATATAGATGCGCCTGGAGAGCGCTATGCCAGCCAGCCCAGGGCCTCGCTCCACCACTCTCCAAACGTGCAAAATGAGAATGAATCCTCCGCTAGATCATGGGAAGATATACCGCATTCTTTTTTTGTCGGTTGTGCATGTGGAGAGTAGTGGAGCGAGGCCCTATATATACCTTCTGCCCCGAGTGGAAGAAATGACCCCCAGTCCTTTTCCTTTTTTTTTTCTTTTTTTTTCTTTTTGTTTCCCAGTACTTGGACCGGTTCATGATGGTTGATATTTATTGATATTCATAGGAATCTCAGTTGTGCTCTTGCCGCGGTAAGAGCACTTGGCTTGGGGCCTGGGCCGGTAGCGAAAGCGGCAGGCCACTTTTTTATTTGAAAAAAGGCATAAGCTGCAGGCTCGCGAGCCTTCGGAAGACAGCCTCGTCCACTTTATGCTTGTGTGAAGTGGTGGTTTGGTTTAAACCACGAGTACTTGGCCCAGCTATTGAAGCTGAGCCCCGGAGCATTCTGCGCGCCAAGTTTTGACGAAGCATGCTGCGCACCAAGTTTCGACGAAGCATGACGAAGCATGCTGCGCACCAAGGTTTGACGAAGCGTGACGAAGCATGCTGCACGCCAAGTTTTGACGAAGCATGCTGCACCACGTTTTGTTCTGCCAGCGCAACGTTTTGGTTTTCATTTGGCTGGCGCCTCCAGCCATTGTGGTCAGGTACGCCAAAGCCCTCATAACGGGGAAGCGCCGGCGGGCGATGTATGGGCCAAGCACTGTGGCAAGAAGGTAGGGTGCTAAAGAGAGGTGATTGGCTTTCACGGAGTGCAAGCACGACACAAGGGGAGAGCTTTCTGTTCTAGGAAAGGGCAGCCTTGAAGGTGCTGATTGGAGATGGAGATCATGATTGATTGGCAGATGTTGCCTGCAAAAAAGTCACTCTGATGTGCAGGGGGTGTTTCCTGCAAAAGGTCGCTCTGTATTGGGGCGGGAAGAAGCTTTGTATACATATGTACGGTGGTATTTCCTGCAAAGGGTCTCTCTCTATTGGGCCGGAAAGCGGAAAGATAGCTTTGTATACATCATGATGAGGCTGCTTCTATCCAAGTTTTGATCGAGTGCACCGGGTGAGCGAATTCTCACGGTGGAGTTTTTTTTTTTTGTTTGGTCGCTCTTTTTTTCTTTTTTTTTTTTGGTTCGAGTTGTTTTACATTCTTTACGCTTGACGCTGGACGTTCAACGTTTGATTAGGAATGAGAAGAACGTGTTTTTCAATCAGCAATGAGAGAGACCTCGATCTCTTTCTCTATCTCTAGTCTCTATCTCTAATGGAAATGATCTCTCTCTCTCTCTCTCTCTCTCTCCCTCTCTCTCTCTCTCTCTCTCTCTCTCTCTCTCTCTCTCCAGTTATTGGTCAATAGAGATGGGGATAGAGAGAGAGAGAGATAGATCTTCAAAAGAGAGAGAGAATGGGAGGCAGAGGAGTTGGAGTTGTCATGACACTGATAAACAATAACTTGTGAGGTCCACTAAACCCCACTAAACCCCACTAAACCCTCAAAGGGAGATGGCAGAGGGGTCCGCAGAAGAAAGGTCCACCCAAGAAAGGTCCACCCAAAGAGGAGGACAGTCAACAAGGGCGATGGGTACAACACTGAATCCATACAGGCAAGTTGCGGTGAAGGGCGCAGGGCGCACGGAGGAGAGGAGAGGTGTGAGTCTGGAGGAGCTGACGGTCGGCACTGTGTTATTTGTGTCCTCTCAGGGGATGCATTTGACCAGATAACTGGTCAGACTCAGTTCACAAATTCCCACCTTTTCTTGTAAAAGATGACATGTTCAGCTTGATTGAACTCTGATGCAGTCTCCAGGGCCTTTTGAACTGAACCTGACCAGTTTTCTAGTTAAATGCATCCAGGAATGTCCCAGTGTCAGGCTTCCTTGAGGGATTTGTCTCCCAAGAGATTCCCCCCCTACTCTTAGGGGGATGCCTCTCTGAACTATGTTGGCCTCTCTGAACTATGTTTGTTTTTGTACACAAGAAGTCCAAGATCAACTCACAAGGAATTGAACCTATGACCTACCACCAAAGAGGTGGATCACTCAACCAATAGGTAAAGCGAGCTGGGATGAAAGTGAAGCCCCCTGAGGGACATTTCACCCCACCCCAGCATGGATAACCCATGGCCCGGTATACCCAGACCGGACCCAACTCGACCCGACCCGAATGCACGTGAGGGACAACTCTCTGAGCTACATGTCCAAGGGCGTACGCTGTACTCACACCAGGACTTCTTCAAGTGTTTGCAGGTGGATACATCCCGGTCTGGCTGCTACAGTCGTATGCATTGCATTGATCTGAGTTTTGTTTTGATCACCAAAATATCCCGTGTAGATACATGGCTTTTTTTCTCGTACAACATAAGCATGTACCCAACACGCATGCGCTTTTTTCAGATTCTCTTATTGATGGTGTGGGATGGACATTACACGCTTTGCCATCCGACCGTCGTGATGACAAGGGAGGCTGCCCTGCCTCCCGCTGCTCCTTTCTCTCTCTCTCTCTCTCTCTCTCTCAGCTTTGCACCCTTCCTCTTCTCTGCTCTGCCTCCCCCTGAATCTACTCTCTCTCTCTCTCTCCCTCTTTCCATCCCTTCTCCACCCTGGACCCCTTCCCTTCCTCCCCGCCCTGCCTCCCCCTGCTCTCTCTCTCTCTCTCTCTCTCTCTCTCTCTCTCTCTCTCTCTCTCTCTCTCTCTCTCTC